TTTAGCGGCCTCTCCCCGCGTAGGGCCGGGCCCTGCCTCGCGTGTCGGTGCCTGCGGGGAGCTCCTCGCCCGCCACAAGCGCTTCTGCGCGTCGTGCCTTGCACAGCTCGGGTCTCAACTGCTCTGTGCCTTTTCACACGTAGGTCTCATCTTTGTTTTCGGAAAGGCTTTCAGTGTATTTCCCTCTCCCGCGCTACTCCCCTTTCTGAAAAAAAGGCCTCACTTTCGTCTGCACGAGTGCTAACTAAAATTAGAAGACGCATTAGATGTCGCAGCAGTGTGGGATAGCTGGCTTAACGAGCACTTCATGTGGTGGTTGGGAAAAAAGAATTACCCCAATGTATTTTTGGCTTGGTGGTTGATTTTTTTGTTGTTGTTGTTTTTGCTTTTATTTTCCTTGTTCGTCTGCAAGGCAGGTGGCTTGGTTCTACTTTTCAAAAACCGATGAAAACCTTGGTCTAGAAAGACAGAAGCAAATAACGTAAGAATCATTAGTTCAGTAGAAGTAGGTGGTGGTTGATGCACCATGTGATGACCTTAAAGCCGCAAGTCCTTTGACATCCTGTAATTAGCTCAAATGTTTAACTTAGCAGCCCTTTAACATGGGAAGTATCAGATAGTTTCATAAGAACTTGGTTGGAGGTAAATCAAAAATAAAGTATTAGATCTTTTCATGAATAAAGTTCTTTCCAAGTCCATTAGTTACAAAATCCATTGTTAGAATAATTTCACATACAGTAGAATAGTTTACTGAATGGCTGTTGGGTGATGTACTCTCCGCTGAAGGATCTGGAGATAGAATTCTGAAATGCTGCACACATAATCATTTCATCTGGCTTTTATGCCGTAAAGATATCAACATGGTGCTGACTGCTTTATGTAGGAAAGGGGCAAACAGTATAAGCTTTTAAAAACATAACCCAGAGTTTTTGTACTGATGTTATAGACTCAGCATAATGTAGACTGGAAGGGGCATCTGACTCCATGCTAACATTGCTGCATTGCATTTCAATTTCTGACTGTGTATATTGCCTTTTTTTTCTCCCCAGCGTAGTACTTGATGTATTAGGCTACTGTAAACTTGTTGATCTTGTGGTGGATTTGGTTTTAAAGGAGCATGAGGCTGAGAGGTAGGAGTTTGTAAAGGTTCCTTTAAACTTCAAAGTTTGCTTATGCACACAGAGAGCAAATAATTTCTAGAACGCCTGCTATTTTTGTGTTAGTGACTTCAGATGTTAGTTAGTTGTTATTTTCTTTCCTGATGACTTGAAAGCACTAGATAGTGTTTGAGAATTTGTCATGGCGTGAGAGGTGGGAGTAGTTATGATGAAGGGAGAGGCACAGGAGGCAAAGAGAACCAGCCTTGTTCTCCTTATTCCACTGATTTTTGTACGAGTTGTGTATAAGGGCCTTCAGGAAATCAAACTCAGCGTTCTCCTGGCTATGTTGATGACAGACTTACTTGCCGGGTAGGCAGGTTGGGCTGGTTTTTTTGCAGGCCTTCCCCTGCTGATCTAAGCCATGGAGAAGAGGAAGAAGCTGTAATTTTGTATTTAGTGTTTTATAGCAGGGCTTTCCAAGGGCAGAGATGATGTACAGTTGCTCCTTTGCTCCATATTCTCACTGGGAGTGATCAGTGACATGAAAATCATCTCTGTAACGTGAAACCTCAAGCCTCTATGTTGGGTGAGGGAGAAGTTCGGTGGCATGGAGATTTCTTGTGGGCCCTTTGCTTTAGACAAACTCTGTTCTGATGAAGTATTGTCAAGAGAAGTGCAATTTGTTTGGGGACTATCGCAGTAATCTGGGAAGTTTGAGATGATGGCTAAATTCTTTGAAGTTTTCACAACAGGAAGAGTAGAATGCATGGTTATCTGAGACTTTCTCAGGCCTATCACTGGCTGTCCCTAACACAGTGGTACTGTAGTGGGCTTTGAATGATGTGAAAACAGTAGGAAGCGATGCATTATTAAATGTGGGATAAGAATTTTCCTTGTCCCCCCACAATAAAATACAAAATGTAAAATTTATTTACATCTAATAATATTTTACAAAGTTTTTGTTATCACTGCAAGCTGTACAAGCCAGCTTATACTATCCGACTTTGTGAAATTAAGTGTCACATTTCTTCCTCCTTTCAATGCTTTATGATATAACTGCAGAGTCAATAGTGTCAAAGTTGACTAAATGCTTGCCAAGAGCTGTGGAGAATTTTTTTTCTTCATATTTAATGAACCCCAGGCTACCTTTATCTTAAAATTATGACCAGTCATGCAAGCTGTCAAACTTATGGAAAAAATTTCCTGCCTTAATCACACTTCTATCTGAGATAAACAAACTTTTGGTGGCTGCAATGATTAGAAAACAAAAAAACAGCATCAGGAAAGGATGTGTTTTTGTCATCTCAAATACAGTGTTCATCTCTTTTTTTTTTTCCTTTTTTTCTTTTTCTCCTCCCACCACCTCAGTGTGTCCCTTTATTTTTCATTTTGTGAATCTTTATCCAGATGTTTTCTTCTGTTTCTGTGTTCTTCCTAGCTTCCTGATCGTGTTTCCCTTTTAACACTACTTTTTCATTCATACCTTCCACCATATTTGAAACCATACTGTATCTTGTCTTGTGTTGCTTAATTTCCTGGTACCTGTAGGCATGCTGCTTAGTTGCATGGGTCTTGTTTCTTTTGTTTTTTTTGTAAAGCTAATCTGTACAGGAGATGTAGTTGGCATTCCTTTGGGATGCTGGAGAGGCAGCTGAGAACAACTGACAGTTTTCATCGTGCTAGTTCTGCCTCTCTGTCATGTTCTGAGGACTGGAGCGCAGAGACACTATCTAACTGTTTTAGCCTTGCGTTGTGTATAATGGATACATGCAAATATATATTTTTTTCTGTAAATAGAAGATAGTGAATAAGCACATTCCATTTTCATCGGAAGAAAATAATGGCCGTTTAGAATCCTAGTTAAAAGGAGGATTTAGGAGTTTTACAGAAACATTTTTCTGTGTGCTTTGAATCCCCTTAACTATTTTGTTTTAGAGTTTATCAGAATTAAATGATAGTGCAAGAAATAGTCTCTCTTTCAGGAAGAGAGTAATTTTGGTATGTATAAGTCTTTACGTGTAAAAATGTATTTAGTACGTTTGCTTTAATTGTGCATAAATTGTATGATGAACTAACACAAATCATAATCCTGTGCCTTTTAATACTTAATCGTTTCAGATACTTCTGAGAAATCATCAGCGCTCTATGTTGTAAATGTTGAAAGAAATGGAAAAATTATTTATACCTGGAAGGTAAGTCAGCCTCAGAACTTAATAAAAATATACCAGAGAACAACAACATTTCTGTGTCTCTGCTTAATTGAGTCTTTGTATTTTTTTTCCCCCCCAATGAGGCTTAGAACTGGAAAAGCTAACTGATCAAAACCTAGAGGTTTGGACAGTGGGAAAATGTCTGTCTCTACTTCAGGCACAGGATAAGAATGTAGAAATGGAGAGTGAGGTCCTGACTTGACTAAAGTCCATGAGATTTTTTGCTATTGATTTTCCTGGAGCCAGAATCTCACCCTGAATGACAAGCCATGTCTTTAATTCAATAGTCAGGTTCCCTGAGAAATTCTCAGGGTGAAAATATGCACTGCTTATGAAGAATTTATCTGTTAATGCAGACTGCTTTAGTTAAACAAGTTTATTTCTACCACTAGATAATTTAACATGCTATTTATATAGAACTAACTCTGCTTCTGCCTTTTTTTCCTTTGTTACTTTAAGATGCATCCTTAGCAGTTTACTGCAAGTGAACTGAAGTAACCTTAGCTTATTTAAAGTCTTGACGCTAGCTTTTTTAGGATTACGTTCTTCATGGCACAGCTTTTTGGTTGACCCTCTTGTAATGCCAAGAAATTTCCAGATGATTTGGGAAGGTTTCCCCTCAGTGAAACAAGCTGTGGTTCTCTTCTGTGTATCTGGAAGAAATCTGTAGACCCAGCTGGATTCTAGAGGATCTCCTGAATCATAAATTCTTGGACAGTGCAAATCGGAAATAGCAGACTCCAGTGGAGTAGGACTGCCTTCAGTTTTCCTCCAACTCAACACTGCTAATACTCTCCAGCTTTTCTAGGCTTAAGGGAAGAGGTGAGACCTTTCATCAAGGTGTAAGATTCTTTAACTATGGGTGGATGTTTCCTTCTGCACAACCATAGGTCTGTACTGATAACAGTAATCATGAAAACAATGCTGAAGAATGTGTCGAGTTTTTGGCATTGCTCAGAACTCTAGAAACAGTTCCTAAAAGTCATCTCTCCAGCTCCTAACAGGAGATGTGGTACTGCATAGATGTGATATTGCTGCTTTCCAGCACCTGCAGAGCCTCACACTAAGCTTCAAGTGACAGCTCTCTTTTTGGGCTTCTGACAGATGAGCCCGACTACCTTGTATGGTGGTCAGTCTCTTGGAACTGGCACAGTGGGTGAGATTTAGCTCCTACACGTAGGTGTCTGCATGTGTATTAGGTATCTAAGCTCCCATTGCGGTCAGTAGGGGTGTGGTCAAAATTGTCGATGGAATTCGGTGAACTGACCACATGTAGCCTCTGCTTTAGGAGGAGGTGCGTGGGGCAGGGGAGGTGGACAACTGAATCACTCACTTGACTCGTTGGCTGAATTGGTCATACCTCTGCTGACTGTAAGGCGGCTTTAAACTTCTAAATTTAGTTGCCTGAATCTGGAGCTAAAACTCACATAGGCAGTCACTGAAAATGTTCGCTTTAGTTTCTCCTTCCTAATTCTAGGGATAAAGTGATTTCTTCAGCCTGTATGGTAGGAATGGCTGGATGACAAAGCCTGAGAGCTGGAAGTAGCAAACTGCAGAGCTCTTCTGCATGGTCTTTTCACCCCTCAAATGCCATCCTGAAGTAGATGCAACTGCTGCTTTTTTTTTTTCCTGTTCTTTTATTATGAAGTGTCTTATCTTCTTCTGAGTGAGTCAGCCTGCAGCGGGACCAACACCTAGATTCTCTCTCTATTGGGATGGATGCTGACTTCTTTTTTCCCCTCAAGTGTAGGTGGTTGGTTGGCTTTAGGCTTTTTATGCTTGCTGTGGGCAAACTGGAATATAGCTCCTGGAGTGTTGTCGCAACAAACAAATGTATTTTAGGGTTGTATTACATTCAATTTATGATGCTTCTTCCAGAGAGAAGAGGTTCTTGGTGTGTGGTAATGTGTTTCTTGGATCAATAAAGATTCTGCTAATTGGGTGAAAGTGTTGGTACCCACTTAGATGCTATTGATGTCAATGGGAGTCAATATATCCACAGTTATCTGACTGCACGATAAGAGCATTTTTGTATGTCTGCACCAAAGCTCACTCAAGGCTTTCATCCAGCTGGACTGTATCTCGGAGGGAGTGTGCCTGTGGCAGCCTGGGCTGTAGCTGCTGAGCACTTATCCACTGTTCTGAACAGGCTGGGTCCTAAGCTGCTACAGCTGTGCCTTTTTTGGTGCCCACACTTTTTTAGAGTTAAGCTGGTTGTGTTTGTGTGAGCTGTAGTCCCACCTTGGGACAGTGATACCTTAAAGCAGTGTGCAGAATAGTTTGGGATTGAATTTTTTTTTCCCCCCCTCGAGAGTAGAATGCCATTTCTGAAAAAGGTACTTCAGCAAAAAGAACAGCATATGTTGGGAGGATTGTGTTTTAACACTTTACCATTGACTTAGAGAACAAGGATCCAAGCCAAGCATTTCCTTTGTTGAAACAGTCCTTCAACAATGTGTGGGTATAGTTCTACTTAGTGTAAATTTTGTAAGAGAAGTAGTCATCCATATTTATACAGCGGGGGAAAGAATGTTGGTGTATGCATCTTTGGGAATGGCAAATAGCTTTAGGCTCCAGTTTGACAACAATTGTTGCAAAAGTTTCTGAAATGTAAGTATTGTTTGTGCTTTGCTATTCCATTCTATTAATATACATTTTAACACTGAAAAGCTTATCTAGGGAAAACAGACTGCTTGGAGTGTCTGCAGCTAGTCCTTCTGCTTCCGTAAACTTGCTTTGGAGAAATCACTGTTATGGTAATTACTACTTCTAACAAGCTGCAGCTCTTACCAGGTTGCTGAAGGCAGTTTAATCAGGCAGGCAGGCAGTCATCCCTCCCCTTCAAAATAAATTTTTTATAACTAATGAGCTACTGCTTTTGTAAGACACACCTATGTCTGTGAACCCTTCCTTTTGGGTTTGTACGTTAGTTGTGACATTATTCGTCAGGACAGTATGCAAACAAGGATGTAGACTAAAATGAACTCTCCTGGCTTTTGTCCTAATGGACACAAATGGAAAACAACCTTTATCTGATAGAAGAAAACCAAGCGCGTTCTGCCTGAAATTAGGGGAAGGTGGGGAGTAAGCTTTATTTCGAGCTTATTTTAGAGTATTGCATGGTACTGTAGATTTTGAAGTATCTATTTTATTTCATGACATTGAAAGTTTATATAAAGGAAGGGCTTTTTTAACATACGTAAATCCCAGGGTGAGTGCTTCTATTTTGTAAAGTAATGCAAAAATCTTTGGAATAAACCTGAAAACAAATGTGTTAGCATGTGCCCAGCTGTGAGTATTGATACAGATGCAGCCTTGATACCAGTCTTGTAAAATATATTTTTCAGTAGCAAAGTACTGAGAATGTTTTAGATGCATTTATAGAGTTTTAGATTCATTTGGAAAGTGAACATTTGTAGATGCGTTTGCTTAACCTTAAATCAATAAAATTGAAGCCTGTGTCTTTATATTAGGGTATATTTTCTTTTCCTTGCTTACAGTATAAGTCAAAGAATTTTGTCATTGCCCCAACAGAAATTAAATACTCAAATACAGACCTTGAGGAAGAGAATGCTCAAGCTTTTGTTTTAACTTCGCAGAACAAGATGCCGTAACTTTGTAAATAACCATGGATTACTACTTTCCTCCTCAAGCTCTGGTTAAAAACAGTGATGCTCCCTGAGTAAAAGGCTGTGTGGCTAGACTGAGTTTCAGTAATTCAGTATACCTTGAGTGCAGGAATGGATTTCAGCTTGAATTGAGATACAATATATGCTGCTAGACAGAGTTTAAAACAAATGAACAAAAAAAGCTTGAAAATTTAAAGCATGTTAAAAATCAGCAAAAAGAAATGTTTTAATTTGTGTAATCGTAGAAGCGCTCCACATAATGACTGTATGTTATTGTCCATCAGCTGTAGAGAGTGCGTATTGTTTTTCTTTTCAAAGGCAGCAAGTTAATGGTGTCATTTGAGCTGGTGAATAGGTTCAGCCTTCAAACAACTGTTTTCTAAGGCAGAGCTGAAATCTTTTTCCCAGCCTGCAGCCAGATCTCTGGGAGCCAAGTTGACACTTGTGCCCTCCACTTTCGGAGTGTTGACCTGCTGAGTCTGTGAGGTTTGGGCTATCAGCCATAAATCTTCATGGGGACCAGCATAGCATTCCCTTTCATTCTTGTACAGAGATAGTTCTTCCTTGCCACACTGCCCTTGTAGTAAATAGTTTAGAAACCAAGTGAAAGAGGCACGTGGCTTATGGCATGGTTCATGGGCAGTGAATTTTGGCTGTGTTTCAGCTTTGTGCTGTGTATTAGTTCTTAAAAAACAAAGCAAATCAGAAAACCAATTTGTTGTCGTTCTTGCCTCCCTTTCTTGGAATTAGGGTGATGAGCTGCCTGTATAACAGGACAGAAGAGTGTTTTTGGATGTGTGTCAATTTAAAAAAAAAAAAAAAAGTGGGAGGCAGGAAGAGGTAGGAGAAAAGACTGAATATTTAACTCTATATGCATGTACATTACCTCTGTTAACTTGTTTTCATCTGTA